CCCGGATGACCCTGACTACCCCAATTTGATCAAACTCACTGTTACTATGCCTCACATGGATGGTAAGTGACCACCTCAACAAACAATGCAGTACTAAGTAAGCAAATGTCAACTGAAATGTCTACAAAGTCCAGGATATTAATATCCACACTTTTTTCCTTAGGCATGCTGCCCGTTATCTCCACACGTCCCCTTTCAAACTTTGAGCTAACCCTTAGTCCAGATGGCACAAGAGTAGGTAACCACCGCTGCTCTAACCTCTTGGATTTCAATGAGATCCAAACAGCACATGGTTTCATCACTGACGCCACAAAGAACCCAGAAATTATTGGCGAGACTTTACCGTACCAGTACAGCGTGGCCATGCGTAGCACCAATTCCCTTCGATTCTACCGCAATCTTAACCTGGAGGCATGTCTGTGGGAGTTCAGTAGCTACTACGACATGTCAGAGCTGCTGAATGACTGTGGAGGATCCATTGGCACAGATGGACAGGTAAGGATTTCGAGAATATGTGTCATTCAAAGCTATGTTCAATCAATATTTTAAGCCAATGTAACTTTTTTAAGGTAACATCACAAAAACAAAAACAAAAACTATAAAATTCTATATATAGTTTATACTGTTTGAATGGTTGGGGTCTGTAAGAATTTTTAACGCTTCTAAAAGAAGTCTCTTATGCTGGATTTAGTTAGAAAAACAGTAATATTGTGAAATATTATTACAATATAAAATATCTTAAAAACATACAATTTGTTATAGAAAAAAAGAGATATGCAAATTTTCATCATAAACATCTTCATATAGAGACTGAAAAATCCTAAGAGTATTTGAAAGTGTATTTCCAGCATCAACACACAAAAGCAGCATTTTTTAAATCATTGAGTTTACACGTACATTTTTTAATGTGTTTTTCACTGTTCCTGTGTCCGTAGGTGTTGAATCTTGTTCAGTCCTATGTAACCCTGCGGGTGGCTCTGTTTGTGTCCTATGTCTTCCACTCTCCCGTTGCGGTTGGCGGCTGGCAACATTTTGACCTACGGTCTGAGCTGCGGCTCACCTTTGTGTATGACACTGCCATCTTATG